GGCCCAAATAAAGTGTATCCGCACATACGCGAAAGTCGTATGCAACATCATTATGCGCAAAATGACACGCATTTGTAAATACAGCTTGGTATAAGAGCGTTGGAATTCAAGCGAGTAACCCTTTTAACATGCTACGCATATAATGCAAATGGAATTTAATAGAGATATATTTTTACAAATTGCGCTTTATTTTTTTCCACTTTCTTGTTATTTATTTGTTCTTTTTTGCATTTTACTCATTAAGTCTTTGTTTTTTACTGTAGATAAAATTTGTGAGAGTTTACTTTTACATCCTTATATTACTTGCGAATTGTGTAATAAAAAAAAACAAGCTGCAATTTCAATAATTTCATACAAGAATCAGACAAGTTTAAAGTATACTAGAACGTTAGGTTATTGATTTATATACATTTGCGATTTTAAACTTCATGCGTGGTTTAAATGTGCAAATTTAGAACGCCCGTATTTTAATTCGATTATCAAGAGCGTTAAAATTAATTAACGGTGATCTACAGAGAGAGAGAACGGTGTATCTTCGCATTTTCAACTAACATCACACATGCTCGGACACGAACTATTCGATCTGTGGATTCTCACGCAACGCGTTATCTCGGTTGAAGATTAGGCCAGATACACACACAGGGTGTCTATTATTTCTATCGAAAAATATTTTACAAAAATTCTTCTAATTCGGCATTAACGGAAATTTAATTAAAGATTTCTTTGTCGAAATTAAAGATCACGAAGATGCGACGATGAAACATCGAAGTTGCGCTAAGAAAAGATCGACTACACACTTCGTTGTATAATACGTAGCCGTACACACCATATATACACATACATGTATATATATACGCACTGAATAGCACGTGGTATGCGGGCGATTATACACGCGACTACGGAGCTTGTGAACGCGAGAGCTCGAAACCGTCGATCGAGATTTCTCGTCGAGTATCCTCGTTGACGAATCGGTGAAAAAAAATTTTTGAAACGAGAAAAAATACAAACTTCAATAATCTATTTATACATTTGAAGTTGCTGTCTCTTAACTATTCTGATTTGTCCGTTTATATTCATCTCTTAGTGGAACCAAAAAATATAATAAAATTTAAATAAATTTATACAAAAAGTTTTTTAATAAATAATAAAAGATAATGTTTATAGCCAACTTCCTATAAGAATGTTTGATAAAAAAATAAAATATTTCTTTACAAAATATATCTACAAAATAAAGAAATTGATTTTCACACGGAATATAATATTAATGTCGCTGTATATAAACTAACATCACACGCTGTAGCGTGTTGAAAATTGAAATTTTATTGCGATAGAGTGACACAAAGAAGTGTGGCAAAATTTAAGAAATTTATGGAATGCTCCTAGAATACTTTAATAAAGACATTTCTTCAAAAAGGCCTTTATAACTGCATCTTCAAATGGAATTTACAAACTACGCTCTATTATAATAGCATTTTCTCAAACAAAGATCGGCATATTTCCTTGAGAAAAGTTCGACGCACCCAATGGAATTCCAAACGCGAACGCGTTCCACCGAACTTTTACGCGCCAACGAAACATTAACCACTTCTTTCTGATTTACTTGAACATATCCAGAAATCTTGTTTTCATTAAAACATAAAATCTAATATAACATGTAATGGAAAGTAAGCAACCTTACGAATTTAATTTTCCATGAAGAGCGTATTTCATTTTAAATGTTAGCAAAAATTTTAAAAACATTAAAATACATTAATTATTATTAATATTAATTATTATTGATATATTTATATAATTAAAAATAATATAAAAAGAAATTTTGCTTGACTTTATGATCAGCATTTTACAAATATCTGCGACAGAGACAAAGTGGACAAAGAAACATTTGCATTTATTTGGGGGAGCACAAAGGTCAGTTTCCATAAGTTCTACATTTTATGCGTCAAAAAAAAACGACGCAGGTGCAGCGCGCGGCTTTCGATGTAAAAAGAAGAAAATAAATAAATTTGTTGAACAGAGTAAAAAAATGACGCAAACGCAAGTTGCATCTAACACAAATTGTTGCGATAAATACAACAAACACGAATAAATATAAATATAAAAAGCGTTTTTGCGTATATTCCGCAGAAAAATCAGAACTCGTCCAAACGATACCGGTTTCCAAACGGATACCGGAGCTCCAAACTCCGTTGGACTCATCGAACGTGCAGATAAGACGAGCGCGCGAATTCCGCGGCGTGAATTCCAACGCCGCGGAATGTATTTTTTTTTACGAAACTTCACATGCCATCGCCGTCTCTTAAAGGCGCCGATATTTCGATAATTCGCACACACGTGCGAATAACACTATGGAATTCGAATTTCGTCTGCGGAAAGATACACATGCCAGTAATATTATCGCTTTACATACCTACGTAACGGTTTTTCGGAACAATGACAGTTCGTCGACGTCAATCTACGAACGTCAGTCGCGCGAAACGCGAGTCCGTGAAGTGCGCCGTGCGAATATTCGCCGCGGAAATTCCAAGGGCGAGCAAAATGTCAACTCGCGCGTTCGTCAGAGAACTACTTCTTCGCACTTCTAAACGATCTTTTAAACGATCACAAGGCTGCAATGTGTGCGCGAAACGACAAACATACTCGCTGCGAAATTCCTGGACGAAGGAGCTAACAATCTATCGGCACGTTTTGTTTCGAAAACGAACGATTCTTTATTCACACGATGACTCTTCATATTTTTGATTGCTAATTGTTGAAAACCGTCGTGAATAAAATTTGTTGCGCGATTGTTACGAGGACGGTAGGCGCGTTACTCCGCGCGGTCGTCGGCGCCGCCGCGCGGCGCGTCTCTCGACATTCGCGAGGAATCAATAGAGGAATGCAGCGTAGCGTAAAAGTACGAAACTAAAGAAAAAAGGGGGAAAAAAGGCGTAGCGTGCGCGTTCTTCAGGAGACCGCGCGCACCGGCACGTCGCGCGCTCCGTTTTATTTGACGCACGTGTGTATATACGTAAATATGAGTATACGTGCGTGTGTTATGCTTTATACTCACTCGCAGGCACTCGTCGTCGTCGTCGTCGTCGTCGCAATCGCACCACACTGCACGTCGAATGCTCGCGCGGAAGGTTTTCACGTTTCGTGACAACTCCGCCTTTGTCAGGTGTTGACACTCGAATGAACGCGACGTCAAGTGATCGGCGCGTACGTAACCGGCGCGTCGTCGCGCGACCGGGCCCGTGTTTTCATTGAAAACGCCGAAAATCTAGTGGTATGCGACAGACGAGCGGACGCGCGCGGCACGGCCCGTTTGACACGACAGACAACCTCGACTATTCGCCATCCACCCTCTTGTCCCCGCAGTTCCCGCGACACCGCCACCGCACACCCCCACCCGCCCACCATCGCCGTGCGAGCATTACGGTGGAATGCGCGGTATGCAGCTCGATCATCACGCCACAACGGCAAAACCGCCAATTGCGATCCGTTGCGCGCATTGAGCTATATAACGTATTGGAGTGAGCCTTTCCCATGCGAACCAATGCGTAGTTTGCGGCTCAGGAATAGCGATAGTAAACGGAGGGACGCTTGTCTTCTTTTACATTTACTATCGTGCACCGTGGGGGATATTACAAATGAAGGCAGACATGAGACAGACGGCCCCGTTCAATATAGCTCTCTCTTTTTCACAATAGTCCATCCCCATTCCTTCAAGGCTCACTCTAGTATGTTGTATAGCTCACTGGTTGCGTGCAACCGCTGCTGTCGTCGCCGCAGCCTTGTAAATACGCCAATGTGTACGTTATCGCTCGGCGAATGCGTCCGGCAGAACGCCGCGATCTCGGAGCGAAGTATCGATACTTCACTCGAACGATATTGTTTGAATGGGCAAATGTCCTGCTTTCCGAGGACGTGCCCTCCTTTTCAAGCTCTTCTCGCATGTCCTCGCGCGAGTCTTTGAAATTTTTATAGGTTATCCAAGTTTTATATTTAGAAAATATAATTAAAAGTATAAGCGCGTATACGCTTTGCTCTGTTTATCTTGGCTTGTTAGAATTTTAAAATTCCATCGCTAACATAATATTTACATCGTTCTATTTTAGAGTAATTTAAATCTTGTAATATTTGATAATAAAAACAAAATTTAAATTGTCCAAAGTCTTTTGATAAGAAATAAAAAACATGAGTGTCCTAATCTTTTCAAAAATTCCGAGTGTCCTACTTCCTTCTTCGTTGCTTCACAATCACTCGAGTCACACGAAAAAATGCGGTCATTCTATACACATGCATACAGCAGAATGAGTCTGCAATAATATGCATATATTTATTACACTTATATACTTTCAAAATTGTAATGCTAAGTTATTTTTACATGACGTAAAATTTGCGACAGAAAGTTTCTTTCTTACTGCAGTTTATTTCTATAATTAAAAATGCACACTAATAAAGAAATTAAATTTCACCTGCAGTTCTCTCCGCAGTAAAGTATTCGTAGCTTTTAAATAAAGAAAAGTATCACAAAAGATATAAATATAAATACGTGTATATTCTGACACGAAATCCAGATAATACGTGTGAATACGTCATAGATAATTAAATTCTTTATCCTTACAATTTAAGTCTGAAGTTGAAGCTCGAAGAAAGGAGATAACAACACTTAAAAGTATTATAATCTTCTTTACTTTGTAACACCAATACAAAGGACGCTCTTTTTTTTAATTTTCCATAAATTTGTCTGATAAATTAAAAAGAAAAATTATACATACAAATTGACAAATTTTTATTCATTTTAAATTCGACAAAATTATTAAATTTTACTATTTCTGAGCATAATCATATTGTAAAATTATAAGATCGTATAATGAGTCAATTGGCAATAATTAATTATGTATTACAAAGAAATTTCCTATTTTTAAATTAATCATATAAGAAGGGACGAATAATCGAATAAATGATATTTATATGAACAATATATTTTTTTAAAGTAGTATAATATTTAAGAAGAATTACAAGAAATTGATGTGAAATATTCATTTAAAATCAAGTATTTTTGAATCTTACCGTATTCTACTTGTAAAGTACAGTGCTTGCATATCTTTATATAATAAAGATAAAGCTAATAAAACATAAAAAACTGTAATATAAAAATAAAAACGTGACATGGAAAATGTGTTATAAACTATATAAACATCTAAAGTGAACAACATCGATTAAAAGTTGCAATTATTTTCTAATATTAGCAACAGCACGAAAATCGTGTAGCGATATATATTATTGTTATATATCCTATATTCAAATAGATTTTGCATCCTCTTTTATCTCATAATCTCTTAATTGAGATAAAAAAATTACATATATTAATATACGTTGATAATTGCTGTATCATAATTATAATAGGAAAATATGCTATCACACTTACAGTATAAAAATCACAATATTAACTGAAGCTATCAGTGCTAATCAATATCAATGGTAAAACTATACGTAGATATGCAATTATGTGTAAATTGAATTACTCCGTAGATTATGCACAATTGGAGAAATAGAAATGCAGTTTTTTTTGCATATACATTTCTCCTAAATTAATAAATTTTGGCATTAAAAGGTTTTTGATTCTGCAAAATGCACTTTGATTAAAAATCCTTTGAACTTCATCCTACTTCACATCTTATATAAAACATGATATATAAATGTCATAAGAATTTAAATGCTTTGTACAGGCACTTTGCCTTCGATGTTTAAATATTTTGTTCTATGTCTCTTCATCCTCGCTCAGGATGTCTATTTCATAAAACAACTGAAAATTAGAAAATATATACTTTATAATATCAAATGCAGCACAAAATTGACATATAAGACAGCGTGTATATAAATAATCCTGAATTATTTGATTACATAATATAATAATTAGAAAGCTTTTAATTGTAGCAAATAGAGATAAATTGAAATGTATCTTTTTATTTTTATGATTTTTATATGCTTAAATTAAATTGTCAATGTATACCTCGTCTAGATCTGGTCTTTTCAGAATTTCCTCGAGTCCAGATAACTTCTCAAGATAATTTGGCACATTGCAGGCATCGAGTATAAAATCAAAACCGCGTTGCTGATACTCTTTGATTAAAGGTATAGAACAAGCTGTACAGGATAGGAATTTATGAGTGACTGTCAGTTTCATCTCATGACTCCAAAGTGAGCCTCGTATCGTATGAGGCACACCACCCAATAATCCTACCAATGGATTGTCACTGTTTTCTCGATTATCGTCATCGGCAGTCATAAGTGCTCTAGCTAAAATTCTGTAAAAATTATAAAATAGTTTAACATCAAAAATAAGCTTATAGACAAAATATTCTTATAGACAAAAATAAATTAGTGTTTGTTATTATGGAATTATTTGATATAAGAACAATTCATATATTATCTTATAGGTTAAATGTAACTTACCCCTGTGGATGTTGCGTTAATGCAATGAGCAGTTCAACTGCTAAACCCGCAGCGATTTGCGACAAACCGGGTCTACTGACAGTACACTGTTGATCAAGTGTTCTGTCCAATTGCGACTAGAATAAGATAAAAAAAATTGCATATCTTTTGAATGCACTAATTCGCTACACGTTTCTAATATAATTTTAATGATGTTTAAAGTACACTCACGTTTCCGGGTTGTGTTACATCGTTACAAAAGTAACATCCAAGATCCTTCCCTAGAAGATTTTGTACCTTTAAATTTGGAGAACAGGAATCAGAAAGATTACGCATGCCGTGCCGTTGTACTGTGTAGGAATCAAAGCCCAAAGCAGCGTTAATAGCTATCTTATTCATCGCAGCGCACAAAAGCGTGGGCAGCCATCTAGCTTCTCGTGAATCCAAAAGCAGGAACACTACATCGTGACTTTGTACAAGTTCTTCCAATTTCCTCACAGCTTCCTTCGTTGTCTCCATCATACTCTGTCCAACCACATGACCAGGCATGGGAATATGCAAAACTACACCTTCCACATTCTACAGTGTGAAAAATAAAACAATAGATTTAGTAAAATTAATATTATTAAATTATATTATTATAAATACACATAACCATATAAATACATAAATATTTTTTATCACTAAAATTAAATTATTACGAAACAAATGTGTTATGATGATACAAATTTGATGGAAATACTTGCCATGTTAGGACGTATTCTAAGTAAAGCATTTTTCGCGGCATCAGCTTTGCATCGACCTTGTACAGCGTCTTCATGTGTGTATAAACTCTGACGCACTGTATTACTGTGAGAAACAGTGGAACTGTCTACAATCGTCATATTAGTTATATCCCAGCCAAGTAGTACTCTTGCCACAGAACACCCTAGTGTACCAGCGCCCAACAGAAGACATCGGAGGCTACTGACTTTTTCTAAATCTAGCTCGAGAACAAGGCGCCATTTCATCAATTTCAAATTTAAATTGATTGCTCTATCTAACAATCTAATGAAACATAAATATCAGTCATGAATAGCATGAATTTAGGAATTAATGTTGACCGACTTTAGAAACTCGAAGAATCTTACTTGGTAGGATCCATACTGTGGGATAAGTTCAAGATGTTAGGACCCATCTTTCCTTTTGCATTAGTTTCCCAACCTACTAACCGGCCTTTCGAAATATCATCCCTTATAGCTTCCGTGTCTTTGTCTGCTTTGAGTTTGAGTGTAAATATAATAGAGTTTTGTATTTTACCACTCCTCACAGACAGGACTTTGATGTTTTGAGTGAAACAATATGTAGGACAATGCCACAGTAACAGACACAGAAGGTTTCGCAAGGGCCAGCCAGGTTCTGCACTTGCGCAAGGATCATAAAACGCAAAGTATATTTCATTCTTCACCTGATAATATTAGACATGTATTTATTTTATTACAAGTTGTAAATAATAAGTCTTGTTAATGCTATAAACAATATAAATATAAATTGTTACCTTCTCTGAATCGGCTTTGTTATCAACACTTAATTTTGCATATTCCACTCCTTTTGACAATTCCTCAAGACTTAAGTCACCATTTTCAGACACAAAGATTGTGAAAAAGCTCCTTAAATCTGGAGGTAGCTGAAGAAATCTTGTATATAATAAACTGATTTGCTCATCTGTAAATTCACTATATAGAGGTTTGGACGGTAGAGCTAAGTAGATTTCCGGCAATGAAAAAGGAGTTGGATGTGCAGTCCAAAAATGAAACCGGTACTTCTTCAGGTCAGAGTATGCATATACTAAGAATACTACGAGCCGCCAAGATTCTTTTAGTGCTGTACCATCTATGATACTGTCAATAACACATTTTCCCATAACATCAATAAACTCCTGAGGATTTATCTGTCTAAATGATTCATAGGTATTTGTGTTAATCATATAGCCATGATACACTATTGCTCCATTGTGGGAAGTTGTTCTAATGTCTCTGAAATTCATGTAACTAAAGTTTATTGTGTTCGTTATGTCAATATATAATTCATACATCATTGTTAATGGCTAAAGTTAATGCAGATTCTAATTATATTACAAAATGTAGTTAAAATTAGATTAATCTGCTTGTAAAAAATAAAAGTTACTTGCATTCATGTAATACATACTCATTAAATGATGTACAATCAAGTATTAATGGATTAGTTTTTCCCTCATCTATCGATTGAAAAGAGAAACTTCCCCACAAAGGTATCTTGTACTTCTCGTCCAATTTCAATTTGTCTATTTTCAATTCTGCAAATTTTGCCCAAAATGTTGGGTCTGGTGCTGTTTTCAATTTCATGAATTTTACTGGCAACATTTCAGGCAACATATTATTTATTCTAGTTTAAAAGAAAGGAAATAATAAGTACAATTCTGATCAGTGATTATGATAGACTAAAATAAGATAAAAAACAATATAAATATTTTGTTAAAAATGAAAAAATTTCACGGAAACCTTGAAAAATGCAAAGAGAAATTATTCAGAAAACATATATTTTTGTGTTATTATTAAAACGTCACGCAACAGTGTTATTTTAGGTTATAAGTAAACTCATCCTCCCACAGTGACTACAGAGAGCAAGCACCATCTAGCAATAGCGCGCGATGTTTAATAGTCAATGCAATGGTTTATAATTTTGGATACTTGTAAAATAAATTTTATTTACAAAGACTGCAAAAATATTCATTCTTAATCTCCAAAAAAAAATAAATATTACTAGTAGAATTTAATCTCAATTGTGTGTGTGTGTGTGGAAAGTATTTCCGAACAATTTTTGACGCGTCACAAAATTAATAAAAAGTAAAAATAAAAAATTATACATAATAAAACTTATTTTTGTTCAATTAAATTACCGCCAAAAATTATGCTATCAAACGCTATTAAAATATTATTAAACGATTTAAAAAAAATGGGAAAAATTCATATTTGTTGAACAACTTTATTTAGATCGTTTTAATCACTGAAACATGTACATACATGATGTGTTAGATGACGCTTACTGTCTATCAGTCGCATGTTGCCGGGCGTGTTATCAAACATCAACCTAATAAGCAATATACCTATCCCAACACATGACCTCTGTCAGATTCATTTTCTTTATGTTTATAATATTTTAAGTTGAAATTTGCTAAGTTATATTTCCAGGCTCCGTAGGCAAAATATTAATGCGCGCGCACAGTCAATGCCAATCTATTACGACATACTGATTAATCCGTTACTAAACTATTGTCATATGATTAACATTTTGCTTGCTAAAATACTACATTGCTTAAGTCTAAAGAAGACTGCAGGGCTCAAAATATCCATTATCCGTCATTGTTTCGCGCTTTCCAATATTGCACGAGTATAACGGCATATGACGAACGGTTAACGTTTCTTTGTCAGTAATTGCGAGCGGCATATACGCCGCTTAAGCAAGTAGGGCGAGATAGAAAAGCGTCGGCGATCCCGAGAGGACGATGATTTCACAATCTACAATCAACGTTGCGCTTGGGCGTCTATGCATGGACAAGGGCAACATACTTTTCTCAAAGTAACATACTCGTTCACAAACATTTTCTCGACTGCAAATACCTATCGAATCAAATAAAATTGATAAAAATTTATTCTGAATTATAATATATTATACTACAAATTACATATTCTGATATTATATGTAATACAAGCATCATTATACAACATAACCATTACCTGTTTAACAAATTGATAATTTAATCATGATCGACAAATTATTTTTGCTCCAATTATTCCCATAATTCGCTAACCCCCATTTTCGAATAATTATAAGCATTAATAATTAATTACTTTACTCAATTATCATATTCAATAATTAATTTAATAATATGATATTAACACCGTACAACACTGTATATTTTCGTTAGTAATGTCATAGGGTAATGTCTGAAGTTGCCACCAAGGGCAATCAGCTGATACAGGCCTGGCTGCGCGCGCCGATGATATCACCGCGCCAATATGGCCGTGCGGCATCGGCTGTCTGCAACGCGACTGTGAAAGCGGGCTGTCCGGGGGTACCCACCGAGGCAGTTCCAGGGAAATATGTCGGACTACCTGAGGTCCGCGCTCGGGTACCTAAACGGCGGCACCGGCGGCAACGAGTACGTCGGCCAGACATTGGACATCAACAATGTAAAGCTGAGGGTGACGCGACTGATCGCCGAGGGTGAGTCTATCTCCGGCTGGTTCAACCGCCTGTCAAATCTCTGTGCCCAGCGTGGCACCTCCTACCACGAATGCGTGATTAAAGGTCGATAGAGTCGATAGTGATTCGCGCGCCTCGCTTTCCCGCGTCGCAATATCGCTGTAAAAAAAAAAGAACCAAGCGAATTCCTACATCGAATCTCGCATGACATCTACCTTCTGTCATGTGTCAAAACGTATGTTTTGACACGCGGCCAAACGCGCCGAGAGCACGCTGCGCACAATTATACTCGTCTCTGCGTCTGACGTTAGCGCGTGTCAATTCTCTTTCTCTGTTTTTTTTTTATTGCATACACTCGCATTCCATTAGATTCGATATTGTCACATGCTGTTGACTTGTCATGTGTCAATTAATGCTTATCGTATCTTTTTAAATAATTGTTTGCGCAACTTGCAGGCGATTATATCTGTTTTATTTCAATTTATACGTCATGTGAATTTGTCACATGAATACGTCATATGATTTCTAAATATTACTCTTAATTATATTTAGAATCTATTGATGTGTAATATAACTTGTACCTTTTGTTATATGTTCTTCAGTTTCGATAAAACTTGACATTTCAAAATGTATTAAATAATACACGTTCTAAGAAGTTTAATTTTATAAATTTAAATTGATTAGGAAAAACATTTTATATATTATAATCTAATTAAAATATTTTAAGATGTATAATCTTATAAATTTTACTAATTGCTCTGTCATTTTTTTTTTAATTTACAAAAGTGAAATATTTTGTGCTAAAAAAATGTTATTATAATTTTTATAATTATTAGTATTATAGTATTAGTATTATAATTTTCAGTTGATTATTTCAAGTAAAACTATATATTCGATTCATGAAAGATTTTTTCTGTTTAAATTTTAGATATGATTTCTATAAACAATTTACTTTTTATAATTTATTATATTAAATGCTTAAAGTAATAATGAATGTTTACAGAAAATATTTAATTCAAATTATTTAGTGAAATGGACATTATTTAATAACAAAGTACTGCATAATAAATAATATTTATTTATGCACGCGAGCATAACACTAGCGAGAAATGTATAGTTATTATAATCGAATTATGTATCGTTATTAACATTTAGATAATTTGTGGCAAACATCGTATCAACAGGTGGATGGGCAGTGGTGTTTGCAGTGGAAGATGTTGCTACGGGAAAAGAATACGCGCTCAAGGTAAACTACTTCAGACCTTTTTCTTCCATGAGTTATTTCCTTATCTTTGTATTGTACAAAGATTACCTTCCACCGTTAGAGACTTATTGCTGCCGACGAAGATGCAAACAGAGCCATTATACAGGAGATAGAAACGTTCAAGAGACTGTCGGGCCATCCAAACATTGTGCAATTTCTGTACGCTCAACGACTGGAGCGGGAAGAGCGCAAGGGTTACGAATACCTGGTCGTCACCGAGCTATGTCCCGGCGGCACGGTGGCAGATATACTCAGAAATGTGTCTGCGAACACACTGACTCTCGCCCAGGTGTGCAAGATAGCCTATCAAGCGGCGAGAGCGGTGCATCATATGCACAGCCAGCAGCCGGAACCTTTCGTGCATCGCGACATCAAGCTAGAGAACTTTTTGCTCGGAAGGGACGGCCTCGTAAAATTGTGCGACTTCGGTAGCACTACGACGCAACAGATATTACCGGATGCATCATGGAACGCTCAGAAACGCGCCACTCTAGAGGATCAAATGGCCAAGTATACGACCCCCATGTACCGTGCCCCGGAAATTATGGATACCTGGAATAACGAACCTATAGGACCACCTGTGGACTGCTGGGCTTTAGGATGTATATTGTATGCCTTAATTACATTGCGGCATCCTTTTCCCGAAGGTAAAGTAACATAACCGCAATTTATTAACTAAAAATATTACGAGAAAATTATTTATAATTTTCTCTCTCTCTCATTGCGATGTTATTGATTGTATAAATTATATATTATATAATTTTCTGATTTTTAATTTCTTTTAAGTTGTGATTTCTTTGTTCATTTCATCTTATTTTACTGAAAAACTGCAAATTATTCAATTTTTGTATTCTTTTCTTCGCTATTTTTACTGTATGTTAAACATGACACAATTTTTTTACAATTTTGAGTTAAAACAAATTCTATTAAACTTTGTAGAATTTTATTATGAAAATAAACTCTAAGGTATTTTTGTCATCTTGTGCAGGTAACAAGCTGGCGATCGTGAACGGCAAATATCCACCGTTACCGCCGAATCCGCGATATGCGTGTATGCACGATCTAGTGAAGGGATGCTTGCAAATTTCACCTATTCAGAGGCTGACGACGGCGCAGCTTTTGGAACGTCTGGCAGCGATCGCCGAGTCGAACGACTTCGATCTTAGAGAGCCGCCGCGAATCGAAGTCGCGATCAAGCCATCACCGCCCCCGCGTCCGACGCCCCCGCCGCCGCCGCCGCAGTCGAACACGCCGCCACCGCCCCCTCGTCCCACGCCCCCGCCGGTAGCGATGCCGCCGCCGAGACCGGCGCCCGTGCAGACGGCGGTATCCAAAATTCCGGCAACTCAGGGTACAGCGGGTCTCTTCAACTCGCTGAGGGGCGGAGCCGGCAGTATTCTGCGCAACCTGAAAGACACCTCTAGTAAAGTGATGCACACCGTTCAGCAGAGTATGGCAAGAACAGAGCTAGACGCAAGCTATTTAACATCACGCATACTCATCATGCCGTATCCCGCTGATGGAATCGAATCCGCGTATCGGGCCAATCACGTGGAGGATGTGAGAGCCTTCCTCCAAGCCAGGCATCCACCGCCAGCCAAAATTCAGCTCTACAATCTGTCTCGCGGCCGGCCGAATGTCGCGAGGCTGCCCGGCAGACACATCGATTGCTCATTCGCCTACGCCACTGCGGAATCAAACGCGCCCATGCTGTTCGCCCTGTATCAAATCTGTCAAGATATCTATCAGTATTTGAATGCTGATTTCAATCATGTGGTCGTGCTATATTGTTCTGTAAGTATATCGCGATGTGAATCACGTAGTCAAGCGCTTGCGAATTATATATATTTGCATTACATTTATTGCGTTTAAAACTGCGCTGTTGTATACAATAATGTGTGAAACTTTCTATTTAAAATCGCAGTACAAATTACATTTAATTAAAGTGGCACGTACTTTTTATCGGCACATTATTTATTTATTAGATGTGGAAATTCTTTTTGATTCAAGTGAAATCAAAATTTTATTACAAAAGAACCAGAAGAGTTTAATTATCGAAATATCCTTTATTATTGTTTGCGACCTACGCTGTCAGCTTGCAAGGGAACTTGGCGGCTTTGAGGCAATAAGAATAAAGTCAGTCGGAAAGAGTTTATTTTTACACCAAATATATAACATGATTGTGTTTAAAATAAAATTACAATATTAGAATCATGAAAGCCCACGCTTATGTTACTGATTGATCTTTCTAGGACGGATATCGGGGGAGTGCCACGGTGGCGTGCACCTTGCTGATCCACTGCAGAGCTCTGTCCACCACCGATGAGGCGATCGCCCTGTTTACAACGAGACGTTGCCAGCCGCCACATCTGCAGCCCTCGGAACTGCGCAGTATTAATTATATGAGCATGCTGAGTGGCGGCCGACCTCCGCACACGAAGCCGCTGGTCCTCCGTTCCGTTGTTATACAGCCAGTGCCGTTGTTCACCAGAGCGAAGGACGGCTGCCGGCCCTACATAGAGATTTACAGCAACGGTGCGCTAGTCTTTACGACAAAGAAGGCCAACTACGAGGAAATGAAGCTGTTCGGAATGATGGAAGGCAAGGTCTGCCTTGTGCTAGGAGACGCGGCTGTGCGCGGAGACGTCACGATAGTGATATATCACGCCAGGCAACAGCTAGGCCGCGTGATCGGAATCAAGATTGCTTCGTTGCACTTTCACACCGGCTACGTACCTCTCACCGAAAGCGCCTTGACATTCGAGAAGCGCGATCTGGACGACGCGCCCGAGATAGGCGGCAAGTTCCGCATCGTGCTGAACGTCATGATAGGCGAGGAGAACTCGAAGCTGTCGAGGGTACCGTTGCCATGGGAAGCGGAAACATGCGTCCAGCCTATACCGGATCCGTTGTTCGCTTCGACGTTGGAGATGGAGGAGACCTTGGAAAACTTTAGAACCGCTCCTCGCCACGAGGAGGTAATTTATCACTTTGTTTACTTTCAATTTCATATAGTTTACAATAATAGAATATAATATATAGTAGCAAATATAAGATTTAAGACGGCTTTTTAGTTAAATTTAAAATAACTATTATGCTGGCGTTATTGCAGACTCACAAAACACCATCGAACGAAAACGAGACTGTTGTACAACAAGAAACAATACCTCAACAACCGGAAGATCTAACAGATGAGGAAACAGATAAACAGAACGAAGAGAGCAACTTTCAGGAGGCTGATTTACTGAATCTCGGCATGCCGGAGAACACCAGTAATACCTCAAATACTCCCGCTCCTGCGGCATCAAATGCAGGATTAGATATCTTCTCTAGTTCTAGTCAGAACGAAAGCGATCTCTTAGGCGGCTTCGGCGCATCGCAGACCGAGGCTGCCAACTCGATACCTTTAATTAATAATAGTGCCTCGGCTGACTTACTGTTCGGGCACGACAATTCTGCGAGGAGTAGCAACACAGTCAACAACAACAATATGAACATGAGCGATTTGTTGTTTGGACAAAGTCAAACGACATCGAGTAACGTCAACGACTTCCTTCTCGACCCGCTAGGTGGAAATTCCGCGTCCAATCTTCTCGGTGGCCTCGCGACGGGTTCCGCCGCGAAGCCAAGCACCGTCAAGAGCTCAATTTCCGAAGAGAACTTTCCGCGAAACGCCAGTGTGCCGAACTTCGCCGCCCAGGCGACCAAGGATCCGTTCGCCAATCTGGCCGGATCGTTGGGCACCGGTCTCACGGGCAGCTGGAACGGCACGCCGAAGAACTCCAACACCCCACAATCAGCGAGCCCGGCACCCGCAAGCACACCGATCCACTCCAGTCCGAGCACGATGCACAAGTCCAACACGATGGTTAACGATCCCAGTGCGAACGGCAATACTTCGGACGCGTTCAGCGGTAAAGCGAAGGAAAAAACGAGCGGAGACGCGTTCGAGGATCTATTGGGCAGTCAAGGTTACAATTTCTTCAGCTCGCGCAAGGCCGACAAGGATAGTCCGAAAACAATAAATCAGATGCGAAAGGTGGAAGCGGCCAAAACGATGGACCCCGACAGGATGAAGATAGCCGAGTGGACGGAGGGCAAGAAAGGGAATTTGCGGGCTCTGCTCTGCTCGTTGCATACAGTTCTATGGCCGGAGGCTGAAAGGTGGCAGCGTTGCGAAATGCATCAATTGGTCACGGCCGCGGATGTCAAGAAAGCGTATAGAAAAGCCTGTTTGGCTGTGCATCCGGACAAGGTATTTGCATTTGATTGGATAGCGTAGCTTTTTTCATTCGGCAATTGTCGTATTTTGTTCGATCAATTGCAAATTATTTATATTTAATTTATAAATACCTGTATCGTGATTCAATTAAAGAAATTTTGCGAATGTAATTAAAATTTTATGCAAATTAGCTCATTGCATTTTTACAAATTACTTGAAATTGATATTGAACTTATTTTGTTATTTAACCAAACGAATCTAGAGAAACGTAATTAAAATTTAACACAAATTGATTGCATTTTTTCAAATCATTCGAAAAATATTACACTTATTTTGTTATTTGATCGAAGAAATTTAATGAAATACGTTGAAGGCAAATTGATTTATTATATTTTTCAAAGCAGTCGCAAAATATTAACGTAAAATTAATTTTTATTTCAATATTTGATTAAAGAAATTTAGTAAATATAAAAATTTAAATGCGAATTGATTTATCGCATTTTTTAATCACATGCAAAATATTAATGTTAAATTTATATTTATTAAAATAATTATTTTGCTATTTAATCAAAGAAACTTAGTAAACACAATTAAAATTTAATACAAATGAATATTTTTTATTGCAGCAAGCAGGCACGGCGAACGAGAATATAGCAAAATTGATCTTTATGGAGCTGAACAACGCATGGAGCACATTCGAGAACGATGCGTCGCAGCAGAATCTATTTAGCTAATTTTAATGACCGTTATCTGTTATCGAAAACCTGTCTCTGTAATTAATTTAGTTCCTAGCGGAAAGGGAGCTAAGAGGGGATGGGAGGGGATCTCGTTATCCGTGAGATAACCGCGTATCTGCATTCCGACTACGTTATTTTAGCTGTAGATAAAAACAAAGCGCAAAAAAGTGGAAAGTAAAATCTTCAGAGAGAGAGAGAGAGAGAGAAGTCATTGCGGGAGGTCAGTGAAGAGGAGCTTCGGGATGTGTCTTCTTATTGTTTCAACGCCTTGTAAACCTAATTAAAACACTCCCAATTACAGCAGTACGGCGTAAAGTATATGTATATAACGCAAATGTAAATTTAAAAAGAAGATCCCAAATATATGAAGCTATTTTCTGGCCGAAAAAAACTGTGCTATCATATATATTTATTATATCTTTTTATTATAAAATAAATCACATCAATGTGTGTAAGTATTTTAAGGCACGAAATATTTCTGCTGAATATTATTTTGAAGAGAAAATTTTTAATCTTTGATTTAAAAAATTTTAGTATTATGTATTCGCGGAAATAATTTCTCACAATTAATATTAATTAAACGGGTTTTTATTTCGAATTTTCCAGAAAAATTAAACTATTTTTACCAAGAATCTGGAGGAAAATAACGGCTAGCTTTCATAAAGAACATTTTGTGATTAATTTAACTATTGTATATAATAACTATTATATATAATTCAATTAATTTATTTTTAGAATATAAAATATACAAAAACTTGAAACTAAAAAAGACACAATTCAAAATCAATCTTCAATATGGGTTGTCTCGTTTTTATTTTAATATTTAAATTTTCTTTAACATGCAGAATATTTCCTCACTTTCTGCCGTTTTTTAACTTAATTTAATAAAACTTAATTAAACATTCTTTGGATAGCTTGAAGTGAAACTTTTCCAAGTAAAACTTCGAGGAAGCTTGTTGCAACTTTTTAATCGTCCTTCTTAGTGTGGAACGTTTACACAGCATCATCGATAATCTTATAATTCAAATATGGAACTATCAATCTCTTCGTCGAGTCAACTCGAAAAAGAATCGTATCTGTCCCAACGGTTCGGAATGAGGTCACGGCTTCCGGGACACCTCGTATTAGGAGGAGCTCAAGAAATCCGTTCTTTTTTTAATTCGCAGGACGTTGCGAGACATTTATAACGCGCGTCAGCAAAATCCGCGAGTGTTAGTGGCATTGTCGGGGTGCGCTGATGTACACGCCGATACGCGCACACACACAAGTGAATCGAGCGCACGGCGGGCGAGGGAGGGAGGGAGACAGGCGCAATACATGAGAGTGCCACGAGCGCGCTCGTGTGGACCACAGGGTGCCACAGGGGTGAAATTTAAAGGGAGGGGCTGCTCGCGAAAATGGCCGTTACGCACGGAGCAGATCGTCCGGGGGTGGACGAGTGACGGGTGGCTGTTCGTCCGCGTCTACCGCACCGACCGCAATTGACCCGACCGCCTCGCTCGACGATCGACACGGTTTACCCGATCGACGGCTATTATGCGGCGGCGGCCAAAAAGCGATCCCTGCTCTGCTCTTCTTAAACCCCCACCAGACGCGCGACCTTCCATCCCTTCCGTCGAGAGGTAAGGTCGTCTATGTTTTGTGCACCCTCGTAACGCGATATCGTTTTCGAAATGCGAACTGGAATCTCATCCCGACGTGTACGCGCCGCGACGCGAAATGTGCCCGTTCGTTCGTGCCGAAAGAGTTGTCCCGACACTTGCGAGTTCAAAAGTGGAGCAGGGTAACCACCCCTGGATGAAATCCTTTTCTCGGTGTAACGTAAAAATGCTTTCGCCAAACGTGTGCGGTTTTGCTACTTGGACAGAGATTTTAACAAAGATATAATTTTTTTTGTAGGTTATAATTTTGCGTCGGAATGTAAAAGAGTTATTGTTGAATTTCAGCTTTTCTACATTATTTTTCACATTCACAAGATTTCTCGTAAAGTCACAAGTATTCTACGGAAAAATTCGATTCAAGAAGTGCAATTTCGGAAAACGATCGGACTAAATATTGCGCGTACAATAATTGTTTACAAAATATCGCTGAATATGTTTGTTAACTGAGGTTTATCTGCGCGCTCGTTAACAACAAGTTTTGTTTACAGATCAGGCCCACGCTTCGACAATGCGCGTTAGAAAAGCTAAATAGAAAAAAAAAGAGGAAGGGGAGTAAAAATTAAGGAAAACTGAGGAAGATGCCTGGCTCCTTTACAGGAGTTGTAATTCTCCTCTTGTTAGGGGCATCTGTGTCAGTGTCTTCGGATGCTGCGAAGTCTCTGAGAGCGGCGAAGGCCAGGCTCAGATCGTCTTACGCATCGTGGCGGATAGTGGTATGTTTAACTCAGCCTCAGACTCCTTTCAAGTCAGACGTACAGAGAGCATGGGAGGAAGCGAGATTGGAATCTTTACACGCGGACATGGATGTGTCGTATGTAGAAGCAAGGATGACACCCGTGACGGATTCCTTGTCATACCCCCTGTCACTGTTAAACAAATTTTGTACAGACATCGAAGGCGGAAAGACAGTACTAAGCCTTATTATAGGAGGAGGATCGGCAGCCAGATTTCTCGTCACGGCTGCTGCCGCCTTGAATCTCCCAGCTCTGTGGTTGCCGTTCACGCACAGAGATTTTCTCCGCCAGGTACATTTTCACCACTTGTCATTGTATCTTTAATTCTGCCAAAAAAATATGAGGAAAAATAAAAAAATAGAGGAATTTGTTTTATTTATAAATTAATTGAAAATTTTTTCCATTCTTTCTCATCTACTCCTTTTTATCAAATATTGCGTAAAATATTCAATTGTACAATGTGTTATAGAATTTTATGAACATATAAAATATAATTAAAATAAACACATCAACTTTATATAATAAAATTAATATAAACGCTCTAATTAAATAAATATAGCTTATAAACGTACTTAATGATAATGATAAATTAATGAATATACATAAATATCATGAATAAAATTTTGAAAGGAGATTATTTTTCGATTTACAGGGAAACCTTGGTCGGTTTGAAAATCGCATAGGTTCGAGCCCTAGAGAGGTCGGAGCAGCGGCTGCCGCCCTAATGCAACGGGCTAACTGGCACGCGTTCACCCTCCTCATTGACACCACTCTGCTGCCGGTGACCCATCTTCTGCAGACAAACCAATCAACGCTAACGCCTCGCGCGATTATACACCTGCCGACAAACGACAAAACTCTGAAATGGAGGCTGAGGAGGGTAGCGGAAGAGGGTGGCACCGGTGGGGTTGTGGTGATGGCTTGCGATCTGAACAACGCTCGGAAGATCCTCGGTGCGGCCGGCAAGTACGAGATGCTGTCGGGAAGATTCCTGTGGTTGTGGCTGGATCTTAAAGCGGAACTGCGGCCAAACGAGCCTAACATCATCAGCTCGCACGTCGCGCACGGTTCGCGTACCTCGGCGATCGCGACGAACGAAAATCCGCCGTTGCTCGAGCGAGTGACGAATCTCGCGGCGGATAATCAGCCACCGCCGCCACCGCCGCCGTTGAATTCGCTACCGTTGAATTCACTGCCGAATCTGGCCAATGACATACATCGGCTGCAGGAGTTCAGATGGCAAGACGAGAAGATTGTGACCAAGCGTGAGGACCGGAACTTCAATTTTGACGACGAAGAAGACGTGAGGCTTCCGAGCGACAAGGAGCTCAACTCCAAGAGCTTCATGCCGGTCGGCATGCTCGCGCTTAGGCCGTCCGGCATCAAAATTATGGGCGGCGACACCGTACTCTCTAGAATCATGAGGGAGACCTCGCAGGCGTTGGACGAGGCTTTCTTGGAAGCGAAGACGAGATTAAGTCGCATGCGCGAGCCGCAGCTCAAGGAGCACTTTATGCCTAATTGTTTTCCGGAACGCAAAGATAAGTTTATGACGAGCGACGTGAGGCAGAACGTCTCTGCGATCCTGACGAGAAAGCTGAGAAGATCCATGGGACAGATCTCCAAGGACAAAGCGGAGTTCCAGCTGCTGAACTTGCAGGCTATCAGGTTCCCCGGGAATAAAACTCAACTGAGGTTTGAACTCGATCGTGAAACATTTACGCAGTGTTCAATTTAAAACCGCGATTCGCGTATATAAAAATATTCTTTTATAATTTATTTACTAATTATTTTTAATTATTACATTATTATACACACATTTTTTTTAAACTATTTAAAATATACTGAAAAATCTTTCAAAATAAGTCTGATTAATGTAGACAGAAATTTTACATAAACTTTTCACGTTTGTGAATTTAAATTGAACATCCTATACTTGTTGCTCGAAGATGAACGAAGTAATATTATTAATATTCGACAGGTGGACCAAGGTCGGCACTATCAAAGGTGGCAGGGAGGTCCGCCTGGACACCATAATCTGGCCGGGTGGCGGCATCATGCCGGCGTATCTCGAGCAGGGCGGCGAGAAGATCGGAATGCCGATTTACAGCATCGTGACCGCGCTGGCGTCGCCGTTTACCATGGTCACGGAGCTGCAGGAGGGTTTCTGCTTGCGCGGCCTTATCTGCCGGCAGGGTGACACCGTGAAGTGCTGCTACGGCCTGAGCATGGACCTGCTGACTCTGGTGGCGCGAGAGCTCGGCTTTCGCTTCAACCTGTACCTCACCGAGGACGGACTGTTCGGCAAACGAAACGGCCGCAGCGGCGCGTGGAACGGCGTGATGGGCGAGCTAGTGTCCGGCCGGGCGCAGCTCGCGTTCGCGCCGATGAGCGTGTCCACTCATCGCGCCGAGGTCGTCGATTTCACCACGCCGTACTACTTCAGCGGCGTAAGCTTCCTCACGGCGCCGAAGCTACGCTCCGAGATACCGCTGTTCGCGTTCCTGTTTCCGTTCAGCACGGAACTGTGGATCGCCGTGTTCACGTCGCTGAACTTCACCGCGATCGCCGTGGCGCTCTACGAGTGGTTCAGCCCGTTCGGTTTGAATCCCTGGGGCCGGCAGCGTAGCAAGAACTTCTCCATCGCATCCGCACTGTGGGTGATGTGGGGCCTCTTGTGCGGCCATCTTGTGGCCTTCAAAGCGCCGAAATCCTGGCCTAACAAGTTTCTCATCAATATCTGGGGTGGCTTCTCCGTTATCTTCGTGGCCTCGTACACGGCCAACATTGCTGCTCTTATCGCCGGTCTCTTCTTTCACTCTGCAGTGAGCAATTATCACGATAAGAGCGTAAGTAATCTCAGTTTTTCTTATTATCAAGCAGTTTCCTGAATTTCTAGCGAACACTGAATCATTCGAAATGAAATCACTTTAAAACAAATATTAAATTACTGAAGATAAATTGATTTATGAAAAAGAAAGAGGAAAGTGGAAAGTGGAAATTTATCAAGTTTCACTTCTATTATAGTTTCTACATAATTATGTAAATTATTTAAATATATTAATTACTGTTGCCTTTGTCATTTATTACGATTTTATTATGACCCGAGAAAAAATGGTATAATATGGTCAGATTTAAATATGTATAATTAGTTGCGAAAAGATCTGATAACATGTGATATTTTATATAATGATATAAAATTACATATGTTATGAGATCTTTTCATAACTAATTATATTTATATCTGATCAATTATACCATTTTTTCTCAGGGATATAAAAATAAATGATACAATTAATTTATAAAAAATATAAAAAATTAATAATGTTAATTATTCTTTATGAAGAGAGGTAAAATTGTTAATTAGTATTTTTATGGCAAAAACGTGCTTGAACAGAATTAAAAAAAATATTTTGTTCTAGTTTGCAGTCATGAACTTAAAATTTATGAAAATGTATTATATTGCAGTTGCTGGCGCAGAAAGTCGGTGCGCCAAGAGCGTCCGCGGCCGAGTACTACGTGCAAAGGGCAAATCCGCAGTTGTGGTCCCACATGGCTCGATACTCCCTATCGGACGTCGCCGAGGGCGTGGAAAGATTGAGAAACGGCTCTCTCGACATTCTTATCGCGGATACGCCAATCTTGGATTACTACCGGGCGACCGACGACGGTTGTCGCTTACAAAAAATCGGTGACACCATCAACGAAGACACTTACGCGATCGCGCTCACGAAGGGACATCCCTTGAAAGAGAGCATATCTAAAGTTATATCGAATTATACGAGCAACGGGCTGCTTGATATTCTACAGGAGAAATGGTGAGCGATGCGCGAAAATAAGCGCAAAAATTGGATAATCGATATTAGTTCGCGCGTAAACTTTCTTCTTATTTGCGCGATAACGGGAGCGTGATAATTACGTTAGACTAAAATACATTAAAGTGGTAAATAAAGTCGCGTAGAATGTGGCAGATGTGGGAAATCTCAACTAGCAAGAAATGTTCTTTATCGCGTTTAATTTATTGCGTGGGTAAACGTCGTTACATAAATTATTTGAAGAGTTATGAGTGTTCAATATGTAAATTCCGTTCGTCTATATACATGGAATCAGTTTATTTCGAGAGAATGTTGAATATATATTTATTTTATATAAGATACACCGGGAAGTAAGAATAAAATTTAGAAAATTTTGGGGAAAAGTAAAATCTACATCTATTTTTTATAAAACTAATTTATTTGAAGAGATATGCGTATTTATGTTATACACTAAAGTAAAACTCCACTTTCCCATAAGTTCTATTTACAGTATAACTTATATTTTATCATACATTTTCATAAATAAATAAGATTATCAGTATGTTAAAAGAAGATATTAACCTTTTGCGCTCTGCATATTTCTGCGCGACATTAATAAACATTTGTTAAATTATGTGCCAGTGTTCGTAATATATTAAACATAAATTCTCTATTTATTTACATTTATATTTGATAAACGTTAACAATTAAATCATTAGAATCCAAAATTTTGTTATAGCCAACTTAGCTGGCATTTGAAGCGTAAAGGGTTAAAAATGGAGAAACAATAGAGAGCAGACACTTGATACAAAGTTATGTTTCAGGTATGGCGATCTGCCGTGTCTCGGAGGTCGACAAGCATTAGACGCCGAACCGGGTGGTCAACCCAGGCCGTTGGGAGTAGCGTCTGTGGCCGGAGTGTTCTGCCTGCTCGGTATGGGCGTGGTGCTAGGTGCCATCATACTGCTGGGAGAGCACCTATTCTACAAGTATACGTTGCCGCGATTGCGGCACAGACCGGAAGATTCCATCTGGCGTAGTCGCAACGTGATGTTCTTCTCACAAAAGTTGTACAGATTCATCAACTGCGTGGAGCTGGTCTCGCCGCATCACGCTGCCCGGGAATTGGTGCACACCGTGCGTCAGGGCCAGATCGCGTCGCTGTTCCAGAAGAGTGTCAAACGAGTGCGTGTCCTTGATTCTTTACATGTGCGTAGTCCAAAAGTTCGCAAACGTGAATCTTGATGACACAGAAGACAGTATTCTATTATATAATTATATTTATTTGTAAAATAAGTGCAAAATGAAGTTATGGCTTTTTGTGAAAAATCAATCTATTTGAAGATGCATGTTCACGAACTTACGGGCAGGGCGTTTATCTTCATTTCTAAATATCTATAATGTTTGTATGTTTTAGAAGGAACACGAACAACGTCGTAGGCGTAAGAGCAAAGCGCAGTTCTTCGAGATGATCCAGGAAATCCGAAGGTAGGGGAATATTATTTTCAAGTTTATTAAGCTGTGCGGGGTGTCTCGCAATCAATTCGCGAATTAGTATAGCGTGAAAGTTCTTGAATAAGTAATTAAAACTTTTGCGATTCTTATTCTCTTTAAATAATTACTGATTACAAACTACATTTAAATATGACTGTCCATTCGCGCATACGATAGTATTGATTAAATTCACTGATGTTAAATAAAAGATTATGTTACTGTTTGTTGTTACGGTCAGCTATGATTTTTGTTTTTTCATGCACACCGCACTGTAACGCGATGACCATGAAAATATCGATTACATATAAACGTATACAAACACAATTTTTTATCTGGTACCAGTAAAGGTGTATACAAGCGTTAAGACTATCATATGCGCAGCAACTCGACTATCTAAATGTCGATTCGCTCCTTATATTAGAAAAATTACTGCTTTGTACAGAACATTGTAAACGCTTTTATTACATGGTATTTCGATAGCAAATTTTGGGACACTTCAATTTTTACTTGCCGATCTAAAAGATATTAAAGATCAGTGCGAAATCGCTAAATATTGAATGTCATAATTTTTCAGAGTTCAACAAGAAGAAAAGATTGAATCGGTGCCCGAAGAGCCGGAGCCTACGAAAACAGTAAAGAAGGATGAGAAACTGGGCAAAGGCAGAGAGAGAAGTCGCAGCAAGAGCCCGTTGATGCCCCGCAGCCCGAAGCGTTCGGAGAAGAGCAGGAGCTCGACGAACTTGTCAGCGTCACGTCTCGGATTATCGTCGGTGAGTTTCGATGCGCCAATGAAGCCGCGCGAGTTCACGCTCAGCAGCACGAATCTACGCGCGAGGAGCCCGCTGGAGACGGTCGGGCGTAGATTGAGCCACGGGGACGGCGGCTCGCCACCGCCGCATTTGGGCTCTAATCTCGGCGGCAGCGCTACGTTGCGCCCGTTGGCGCCCACCAGGAGCGATTCTACAGGTGGCGGCACGCCGACCGTCAGACGCGATTCCGCGGCGGCCGGAGGCGGCGGTGCGCCCACGCCGAGGTACGCCCGCAGCCCGGCCAAGCGGGGTCAGTCGTTTCCGGTATTCGCCACGCTGAGACCACCACATTCGGCCAGCTACTCGCAGGCGTCCAAGAGCCCGCTCCTGTCGCCGAACAGCGAGCTCACGTCCGCCATCGGGAGGAAATTGTCGCGCGAGTGGGGCTCCGGAACAATCGATCTTACCAGATCGTCGGAGACCATAGGCGGCGGCGGCGGCGGCGGCGGC